ACTAAAGGATGGCAATTGCCCTAGAAACCCGCCATGTTCCTTGGACCCTCTATGTAAAGGTTTGATTGCCAACGGAGATGACTCCTTTTCCTCACATTGCTTTGTGATCTGAATGGACCCTGCTCTTAGTGGACTCTTGAATATGACTCCATGATCTGGTGCCACCAGATTTCCCTTTGCCTGGGTACCCACTTCCTCCTATGTGAGCAGTGCTCAGGGCCCCTCCTGCTTCAGGAATTAGGGGACATTCTTTTGCTTCAGAAGAAGCTCACAGAAGCCAAAGGCCAGGCAGTGGAGACAATGGGCTCTAAAGGCAGCCCTAGTTACTTCTTTGTTTCCCAGGGCTGTGTGGTAAGATGGATGTACATTTGTTCAGGGCTGGTCACATGACATATTTAAAGTGTCTGAAGTTTGCTGTGTCTCCTCTGCACACCTTCCCTTTAGAGTCCTTCCTGTCATTCCCCTGCTCCCTATAGAGTCTTCCTGTATTGTTGAGCTTTCTCACTTTCTCAAAACTCCTCATTAGCATGACCAGCTTAGTCCAATAGTAATGTCTGTGATGATGGAGTTATTCTAGATCTTCCCTGCCCAATAAGGTGACCATGAAACACATGTAGCTATTGAACATTTGAATGTAATCAATGTAACTGAGGAACTGAATATTTCTATTTCAATGTTTTATTTCAATTGACTTACATTTAAGTTGGCCTATGTGACTAGTGGTTTGAGTATTTGATGAACAGTGCACTCAGTCTCTCTACTACAGTCAAAATTAATGTATTCTGGGTTCAAAATCAAAGCCTTCTTAGAGAAGCACAAGAAAGACCAGATCATAAACAAATTGCTATCTATAAATTAAGGTCTCACCTCTCTTAATTATGCAGTTCTTTTTCTTTTCTTCTTCTTTTCTCTCAGTGTTGGGGATTAAACCCAGTACCTCATATACACCAGACAAGGACTTTACTACTGACTAACATGTCTACATGCCAAGCTTAGTATGTAGGTTTTAAGCAATGCACATTTTAGTTAAAGTAGAGGCTCACATAACAAGAATTGAGGGAAGATGACAGATAAGTGTGGTGTATGAAAAGATAGTTGAATAAAGAGCTTTAGATGCACATTAAAGCATGTCTGATGGAAGGTACATCCTCCCCAGAGCGACAGGCTGCTTCTAAGCTTCTTTAGCCGCCTACAGTCTGGCAAGATTTATAGTCACAAATGTGTGAACAAGAGTTGGGAAACAGTTGGAATGGACAGAGCCTGGAAGATGCCAGAGTACTTGCAAAAGAATTTGGGGTGCCAGGTAGGGTGGTGTTTTGTTCTGTCTTTGGGAGGAAATGCCAGGGAGGGATTGGTAGGGAGTGATCATAGCCACAGGGACATAATTTAAAAGTTAGAGAGGAGAACCCAGCCTAAAGTCCTCATGAGGGCCTATGGCATTTCTGTCAGTCTTGGACAGGAGTTGTGATTATGCTCTTAATTCTAGTTCTAATCTTTTAGGAATATTTTCTTTCTCCTGTATTCTTTTATGGAAATTGGTTTCTAGATGTTCTTTTTGTACTGAAACTGGGCTGTGTTGCTGTGTCTCTTGGCTGTTCTTACAATTGCTTTCAAGTTCCTGCCTGTGTTTTCACAGATATTCTTTGGCATCAGAATCATCTCTGCAAACCAAACTCCAGGCTGGGTAAAGGGTGGAGGATAGCAGGTGTGAATATCATGGAAGACAGTCAACTAGAGGAGTAATAAGGCCTCGAGAGCACTTGGGCATAAGCAAGGGGAGTGTGTCCATGCTTTGTGTTTTGGGGTTTGCTCTTGGGATTTCAGTTCTTCTCACCCTATGGCAGATACATCTACTACCAACACCTCACCTGTTCTACCTGGGGCAGAAAAGGGGGTTTCCAGTTAAGTCACTGCTCAGAAGGTGTGCTCATATGCTTAAATATTTTAGCTGGAGAGATGGCTCAATCTTTCAGAGCACTTGCCGCTCTTACAGAGAATCAAGATTTAGTTTCTAGTACCCACATGCGGCTCACAACTATCTGTAATTCCAATTCCAGGGATCCAATGCTTTCCTCTGGCCTCTGTGGCACTCATGTGGTGCACTTAATATATATATGCAGGTAAAACACTCATACACATAAAATAAAATAAATCTTTAAAAAAACATATAAAGTCAGTCAGATAAAGTCTTGATTTTTTTTTTGCGTAAACATGTGGTTAATAAATAATCACACATAAAACTAAGAAAATAATAAGCAGGAAAATCTCTCTGGTATTTGCAACACAGTTCAGACTTCATAGAGCTTTCTGGGCATCTTTACCCCCTTGGGGGATGTTTTTCCAGTATTTAGCATCTCTCTCTCTCTCTCTCTCTCTCTCTCTCATTTATCTTACAGGTAGCATGGAGCATTTGACATCAAGGGACAGTGGCCCAGAAAGGAGGATGCAACACACAGATCTCTCTGCCTAGGTTGATCCACCAGTTTTGTGTTTACAGATCATCTCGGGAAGGACTTTTACGTCACAGGGTCCTGTTGTACCCAAAGCATCTGGAAGACTAATGGCATCCTTTCTGTAGATATTTACTAATGTTTACTTGGAACTCTATAAATTTTGATTTTATATATATAAAAAAGTTCCTGCCAGGGCTGAGTTAACTTAGAGAAGTAATTTTCATACAGGTGATTTTGCCCTACCAGAAGAGTCTAGCAATATCTGGAAACATTCATTATCCAGAGTGGGTGGTTTTGTCCTTCTCAGGGTCTCAGGCAATGTTCAGACTTTGTTGGTTGTTAAAACTGGTGTTGCAGGATTTGGAGCAATAGAGCTGCAACTGACCTGAAACCATTTCCCCTGAAGGCAAGCTCTCATAGCTTTGGAGAGCGCTACAAAGGTGCCAAGGGAAAACATCAATCAATGGTCCAACACCAGCTTCAAGACCAAATAACCACATCGACGTCTAACTCAGCTTACATCTTTAGTGCAGTAGTGGCACTTTTATCTTGGGGGCAATCAACAGCTACCTAATTGGACTAAAAGCCCACTCAATGGGAGGAAACACAAGTGTGGCACTGAAAACATAACCAAATATACATGGCTGGAGTCGTCACAGATCTTAGAGAAAACCCCAAGACTGTCACATCCCTAGACTAATGTGATTTCTTACTATGTTTGAAATATGTATCCTTATATTTTCAGACAAATATCCCAGTCACCACTCATCAAAGAAGCTTATTTTGCACCAGTCGGAGACTATTACCAAGTACCATAACCGGTCACATATGGACATTGTCTATGAATTGCCCAGGCCTAAGTCACACATCTACAATGCAACCTCTACACATAAGGCTCATGGAACATAGAACCAGGGTAAAGAAGAGGACACTAATCAATCACTCAGTTCTCATTAATGAAGCTTCCTCATGCAGCAGAGGGCCAGGAACATAAAAGGTCACAAATGGTCAAAGCATAGACATCAAGAGTCTGCTGAATGCTGGTCCTTGGACAGGATTCCTTTACTAAATTTCACCCACCAAAGGCTCAGGGACCATAGTGGAAGAGGGGGAGGAAAGATTGTAAGAGCCAGGGATGAGGTGCATGACCATACTGAAAGAGAACCTGGGAACCTGCTCATATGATTCTATGGCAATGGTGTCAGCATATACAAGTCCCATGCAAACTCAGGCAGACAAAAATCCAGCCTAGAACTAGGAAAACGAACAGCAGAGCCTAATCTTACCTGATGAAATATTAGCAACTGATTGCTGCTAGGTGAAGGAGAGCAGATCTTCCTAAAACAAGGGACTCTCAATAGGCTAACTAGACCTCAGTGGATGGACTCACACTGGGAACATCTGGAGACACTGACTAGACACAGTGGGCCTTAACAGGGATGACAGAATATATGCACTCCAGTCTATGCGGGGGACTACGGGAGGGTGCCAGTGGGGATGGAGGTATAAAGATGATTAAGATTGTTTGGGATGTTCTATATGAAATACACAAAAATTCAATAAAAACAAATAAAAAAATAGGTGATGGCATGGTGTTCTACCACAATACTTCTCACTATCCTATTCCACAGAGCAGTCTCTGGGACAAAGAATTATTTGACTTAGAATGTCTTGGCAATCTTTGAGAAACCCTAGTCCAAAGGAAAGGGCAATCTTGGTTCTTGACACTGAAGTGGCAGATGGCTCACAAAGGGCTATCATTCTTTGACTGTTGGAATATGACTAAATATAATGAGTTGGCCCAAAGAAATCTCAAGAAATTTTCACCTAAAATTTTCTTCAATGAATAGTTCAGTCAGTTTTCTATCCTCACAAGTTCTTTATCTCCTCTGAAAGAGAGGGGTAGCAAATTGTCAGGGCCACACATGCCAGCCTTTTATCTAGTAGTCTAGATCCCTCTTGACTGTGTGGCACACCCAAAGGCAAACCATGAGGTTTGTTTCTCCATGAACTCTTTATTGACTGTCCTGGCTCTTAGGAATTCCTTGTTGAGACTCTATAGGGAAGATCCAGGGCCTGATAAATATGAATATTGTCATATGGTCTGAGAGGGATCAGCACACAGTAGTGATAAATATTAAGGAGGCAAGAAGTTTCCCAGAAAGTAGTGACAGAATTTGTATACAGCTGCTTGGAAAAATACAAGCAAACACAATACTTCTCTTTCTGATTACAAAAGTAATACAGTTATTGTCAAAACAAATCTCTCAAATACAGAAAAGTATAAGGAGAAAATAAAAATCTAATTGTACTAGTAGGAGTTATCAACCATGAAAATCTTTTGAGAAAAACAGAAAAGGAGATGAACATCAAGTTTTCTGAGATGATGAGCTGAGGAGATTGGAAATGTCTTGAGGACAGCAGAGTGTCTCTGTGTGAGCACTCATGTATTTGAGATGGTGTTCTTTGTGATTCAAGATAGCTCAGTCCCTGCCCTTGTCTGGACCAGAAGGTAACCAGAGGGGCACCGAATCAAGCCCTCCTTACCTTCAGGGCTCATGTGCAAATATCCTTAGTGCTCACCTTCAGGGATAGGAGAATTGTTCTTTAGCTGAAAGAGAAAATGACTTATTTTAGCTCAGACGTGACAAAGTAGGGGATGTCATTTTTAGCTTCCTATGTCACTTAGCATAGATGAGCAGGGTCACTTTAATGAAAGGCTTATGATGGCTCTCATTTTCTGGAATTGTTTTTTTTTTACTTCATTATGAAGTAATATCAATTTTAGAGTTACAAAAATCATAAACATAAATCTCATGTACTCTTCACCCAGATACCCAAATTTTAATATATTTTATTTTTTTATTGATTTTTTGTGTGTTTCATACAGACCATCCCAAACAATCTTTTTTTTCCCCGCAAACAATCTTACTCATCTTTATATCCACATCCCAAATGGCACCATCCCATAGCCACCTGCCCCCCCCAACTGGAGCCCATATAATCTGTCATTCCTGTTACTGCCCACTGTGTTGTCAGTGTCCCCAGCAGTTCCCCAGTGCAAGTCCATCCGCTGATTCTAGTCAGCCTATTTAGAGCCCCTTGTTTTACGAAGCTCAGTTCTTCTTCATCTAGCAGCAATCAGTTGCCAATATTCCTTTAAATAAGGTTGGGATCTGCTGTTCATTTTCCAGTTCTATGCTAGGTTACTGTCTGGGAGTCTCTTGGCCACTTTGGCTAACAGCTCAAAGGAAGATTATCTCCTGTCTGGCATTGTTTCTTGGTATGTAACCTTTAGCTGTCTATACACACAGACTCTTAAAGAAATATATTGATCACTTTAATCTTTGATTATACTTTCCTTTTGGGTGTTTAACACCATACACTTGGCCAAATAATGTTATATTTATCATCCTCTTTCTTATGTGTATAAAAACTATTTTTTAAAAATGATCAGAGAATAAATCACAGTCCTAATGTCTCCTTTGTCCCTACTTATTTGAGTTTGTTTCTCCAAGAACAGCACATTCTTTTCTCTAAACACAGTGTGACTAAATCAGAAAATTACCATTGTTCTGGTGTTATTAGTTATTATCCAACCTATAGCTCATAATCAAGCTTTGTCAGTTATTCTAATTGGGATTAGAGTATAAGAAACTTGATAGTGTACGTCTCTTATGGAATTTATTGATGCATCCTGACATGGTCATGACTGAATTGGGAATTCAACTACTTTTACTTGAATATCATTTGGATTCTTTCTCAGTGGTTCAAACACGCATTGGCAGGAGAATGCGTTTTTCAAATGGCCTTCACTGGGCTGAAGGGTGAAGCCATATATCTCTTAGGATGTACCCACCAGGAGTCACAGTTCCAAACTTATTCTGCCCAGTATTTCTTACTCTAGTCTTGTGTACAAAATGTCAAATTCTGGGGTATAAGGGGCAGAATAACTGCTGGAGATGCAAATCTCAGTTAGAAGGACATGATCTCAGGATCTGAAGACAAAACAGGTCTAAGTAATCTAAAGCTACTTTTAAAAACTGGCTTTTGGGGCTGGGAAGATGGCTTAGTGGGCAAAGCACTTGCTATTATGCGTATACAGGCTAGGTGGGCATGGACAATTGCCTATAATCCTAGCAAACATGGGTAGTAGAGACAGGAGATCCCTGGAGCTGGCTAGACTAGCCAAATCAAGGTAGACTACTTAGACTTGAACTTTGGATTCATGTGAATGACCCTGCCTTGATATATAAGGTGGAGTGGTTGAAGAAGACACTTAGTGTCAACCTTTGGCCTCTACATGTATGCACACATATGAACATGTACCTGTACACAAGTGCCCACAGATGCTAACATGCATACACACATGCACACATATCATATATTCATACACATGCAAAAGTAAAGCAAACCAAAACAACCCTCCCCCAAACTCTAACTTTTATTTATGGACAGAAATTTTACATGCCCAACTTAGTCTTGTGATTTTCATACAAAAGCCAACTGACTAGTAGAGCCAACCAAATAAGGCTTTTGAATAATTTCTAGGCTTTCAAACTTCTGAGTCCAAGGAATTGTCCCTTGAAGAAGCTAATGCTAAATGTTCTCCATGCCGACTCCACTAATGGAGAAGGGCGTGACTGGCAGGAGGCCTGTAATGGCCAGCAATGCCTACATAACCATAAAACTCTCTCCCTCACACATAGTCACTAGTTTGTCAACATTGTTGTTGCTCTGAATAGGCAGCCCAGTTGTCTTTGCAACCAAAGCTTATGATGTGATGAAAGCTATTTGAGCAAAAGATGTTCCGCCACAAGACATTTGGTAATGAGGTGTCTGGTGAATCCACAGCTTGTGACACAGATGTCTGGTGTAGGCTTCCTAGAAGTAACTAATTTTTCTCCATAAGGTGCAGTGACAACAAATTTTCATTTTAAAAACTTAAACATTCTAGAATGCGTCTTATGTTCTGGGAATTACTTCAGCTCTCTTTGATAATGTCCTAACTCTACTCAGAACAATCCTTGTTCCTCTCTGTTCCCTCCCAAATAAAATTCACACTTTTTATACTTTTGATAGAAGGGTTAGCCTAGGTTGGAGAATGGCACAGTGGGACATAAGCTACATTTAGGGATGAAAGTCTGAAATACCAATAATAGAAATGAAGGCTTTGCAGCAGGAGGACATAAGGGGGGATCATGGTTTCTGTAGTCCAGCAAACATCTATTGAATGACGAGCTCTCATACTATCAGAAGGTGATATGTGAACCACCAAGAGAGAAAACCAATCAATGATCCTACCCAGCTGTGAAGCCCATGAACCACAACAATGACTGGACCAGCAAAATATCTCTATTGGTGCAATAGTGGCACGCTTATCTTGGAGGTAATCAACAGCTGCCAAATTGGACTAAAGGCCTTCTGGATAGAAGTGAATCCATGCATGGTACTGTAAATATAGCCAAGTACTCGTGGTTAGAGAGCTCATAGATTTTGGAGATTAACTCACTACTGCAACTTTCCTAAGACAATATAATTTCTTAATATATTCTAAATATTTATTCTTATATTCACAGAGAAGTGAATATAAGAACACATTCACATATATAACCCACTCATCAAAGAAGTTTGTTGAAACAGGTGGAAACTATCATGAAGACTATTATCAGTTTCACAACTAATCAAAGTGTAGAGAATAAAAATGGCTGTGGGGTGCCCAGCCTTAAGTGACACATCCACAATGCCACCTCTTCATCTGAGGCTCAGGAAACATCAAGAAAGAGGGGCAGAAAGAATGCTAAGAACCAGAACGCCAAAACACCTGTTGCTGTTAATGTATTATAGACATAATAGGGAAACTACACAAATAAAACCTCCACACTATGGAAGCCTAATGAAATCTGTATAATGACAAAACTAGTTGACATGCCAAGGTGGGTGGGAGGAAATGTCAAGGGGTCCCACCTCAAGATGAAGAGCTATAAATGATCATGGTATGTTAAGGGAGGAATGAACAATCAGTTTTCTCTAGGGACTAGCTCCCTGAAAGGTTATTTAATCCCAAGTGGGCAGCCCTAAACACAGGTACACCCGAGGATCACTAAATGGACTCAGTGCACACGTACATGCATATATAGTGTATATATATATTACAATAATAATCAAAGAAGTGGGCAAGAAATTGAGAGGGATGGGGGGACCTGTGAAGATTTGGAGGGGATGTGGGAGGGATGGAAATGATGTAAATACAATACTCATGTATGAAGTTCTCAAAAAGTTTTATAACTATATTAAAAGCTTGACTGGCCTGTTATTGGACGACCCTGACAGAAATAGTCCTTAAATAAAAGCTTAATTACTTTTGATTGCTCTAAAAATGTTAGAAAGAAAATTTTATATATACTTTCCAACATTACAGTATACCAACATAGGGAGGAGTGATAACGGAATCTTTGAAAAAAAATATCTCAGAGATCTAGCCCATTCTACACTTAGTCTTATCTGTCAGAGACCAATTTGTCCATGTTATAGGAAGTAAGCCACAAAGTGCAGGGAGGGGAAATTGCTATTTAACTCTGCCTTCATTAAGTACCACTTGAAGTCCCACATTCAGTCCTTTGTTGCTCAATTTAAGAGGAGACATGTTAGTTGTCTTTAAAGTCTGTCATGCAGTGAGAAAGCCAATATTTTTTTTTCAAGAGGAAAATACTAAATATTTTTAGTTTTATGGGTCATAAGTTCTTTGTTGTGTCCTTAATTATAGAACAAAAGCAGCCACAAGCAATATGTAAAACAGTAGGCTTGGCTGTGTCTCAACAACACTGAGAAAAATGAACTGTGGGAATGGATTTTGCCTGCAGATTGACGTAACACAAAAGGAAAACATGGATTTATTCTAGGCATGCCGGGAAGGTAGAAGTTGGACCAATGTATAAAAGCTGGAGTGTGCGTACTAATTTTAAGACAGACTTAATGGTGATTCCAATTCCCTAATAAAATGAACTGTGTCATGAAGCAGTAAGGGGTTCTTGTCATTGTAACGGTTTACTGAAGATACTGAGTTCTGCGGAGCCTGGAGAGCAAGTTGGCTAACAGGGGAGGTAACTGTGCTTTGTATTATTGATACTCAGCATAGCACCACACACAGAGCAAGTCTTCCAGATTCCGTGCTCTAGAGGGAAGGCACTGTGCCATGTTTATCTTTGCATCTGATGCATTCCTGAAAGCCCAGTATTGTTCTTTAAGTACGGTGGGTGTGACCAACACATTTTTCGTCAAGTTGACTCTTGAAGTAAAATCCTGCTGACAGATCAAGTAAACTAATTTGCTTTTAGAACAGCCATCACTACTATTTATATTAAATTCAATTATCTCTTATGACCTTCAATATTGAAGATTTTCCTGGGAAATAATAGGTATAATAGTCAACATTTGCTGTATTCTAAAGCTTTGCTAATTACTCTGCTAACAGCCTTACTTGCATTAGTTCATTTAATTTCCCTTCAAATCTAGAAGGCAGATATTGTTATTATCCTTATTGTCTCCTTTTTCTTGTGTGTGTATGTGTGTGTATGCATGTGTATGTGTGTGTGTGTTTATATGTGTGTA